TATTTTTTTCTGTTATTAATTTCAATAATGCCAAAGCAGCTGAAGCTGATTGACAATCCTCTCGGCTACTTAACTGACCATATCAATGTCTCAGAAGTTTAATTGACTTAGTGCTGTACTCTGATTAAAAAGTGTCCCTTTAATTTGTTTGAGAAGTGTGTTTATATAATTAGCGCGACCTGTGGCAGTGATTTTCACCAGGGCTAAACAACCATTACACAAACTTGAAATTTGGTTCCAAGAACGTGAACGTAGTTGAAGGATTCGGCTGAAGAGCGTGTGAATTGACCGTGTCACGTCACATGTGCCACTTTGGAATGTGAACAGCATTTCACACACATTAAATGCGCCATGCTTTAGCAGTATTTGCAACCGATAGCCTTCATTCCTTAAGGTTAATGTTAATATGCCTGTTTATAATTTGTCATTCCTGTAATTAAATGGTTATGTCTGAGTACTCTGACTCACAAACATTTATTTTGTACAGCCAAATATTGGAGAACTGCAGCTCCATTTGGCTGTTATTGGTCTTGAGTTAGATACGATGTGGCTGCCAAATAGTTGTGGGTGGAACCGTAGTGTAGTAAAACCAGCAGTTAAATGATGTGGTAAACAAATTAGATATGAGTAATTTGTTTAATTGACTAATATTTCTGGTGGCGACCTAAAAGGGCAGCAACATAATCGACTTATTGAAGGTAGGTTTAAAGTGGACATGAAACACTGTGTAAAGGTTAATTTACACTATGGAGGATGCGCTGTCAAAAACTGACATAGATGTGACACTTAAATAAGAATAAGTGCTTAAAGGTTTTAGAACATGCTTAGCACTATCCTGTGCCAGTACAGGATGTGACATCACAGAGTTGGTTGGTTGTGGTTAACAGACTTCTATAAGTTTATGTAAGCTAGCATTGTTATGTTAGGGTTACTTGTGCAAACCTCAGTATCAGTGGTAACCATCATGCAAATTCCTATCTTAGCCAGATATTTTATGTGCTCATTTGCATGTTACTTGTTGGGAGAATTGTAAAATCCAGTTCTCAAACACTTAAAATGTTTTTATCACCAAAATCAAATGTTTATTTCACTGTTCTTGTTAGGTTCTCGATAAGAGAAGCCATCCTGATGGACTTTATACCTAAGGAGCCAATGGAGGGTAAAAGTTCAGGACCTTCGTGCTCAGGCCTCAATCTGGTCGCACACCCACGTGCCAAAAGCAAAGTGTGGAAGTACTTTGGCTTTGACACAGATGCAGATGGCTGCATATTACACTGGAAAAGGATTTACTGTCGTGTATGTATGAGCCAAATTGCCTACTCCGGAAACACCTCAAACTTGTCATACCACCTTGAAAAGAACCATCCCATAGAGTTCAGTGAGTTTGTGAAAAGCAACACAGATCAGATGCGGGAAGCTTTTGCTACGGCGTTTTCTCGGATAAAGACTGAGCCTACAGTTTCACAGCAGCAGTCCCAGGAAACCTATTTAAGGCAGAGCTTAGACTCTGAAAACAAACGACACAATGATTTGACAGTAGCTATTATCAACTTCATTTGTGAGGGGTTATATCCTGTATGTACAGTTGAAGAGCCTACGTTCAAGAATTTAATCGGTATTGTCGACCCTGGATATTCTCCTCCAAGCAAAAGTGACCTCGCAGCCAAAATGGTTCCTCAAATGTACTGCCGTACCCAAAATGTGGTCTTTAATGAGCTAAGTGGAGTTATGAATTGTGGCATTGCTACAGATCTGTGGCAAAGCCAAACACAAAACAGAACATATATTTCACTTTCTGTGCATTCAATCAATTACAACAGTGCATCTGGCTTCTCGGTGACCAACAAATGCCTTAAAACTTTTGAAGTACAAGAGGACAACAGAGCTGAGAATATCACCAGAGCCATGTATGAAGCCTTTGTGAAGTGGGGGATAACTCATAAAGTCATTGGGGCTACCACAGATGGTTCGGTGGATGTGGTGAAAGCATGCTCCCTCCTGGATCTGACAGTGGAAATGCCCTGCCTTGGACACACAATCAATCATGCAATGGCTGAAGCCTTCCAGCTGCCACGAGTGAGTGGCTTTTTGGGATGCTGCCGCAAGCTTGTCGATCATTATAGAGAATCTGCAATGTATACAGTACGAGAAAAGCAGAAGCAACATGGTCTTGCTCAGTGTACACTCATCACAGACCAGGACAGGTCATGGTTTGGTACATTGGCAATGCTACAAAGACTGAAAGAGCAACAGGCTGTTATAAGTATGACACTTATAGAGAGTTCCAGTAGCCATCATTTCACCTTCAGTGGTTCTGACTGGGCCTTGTTGGAGGGCTTGATTGAAGTCCTCCAGCCCTTTAAAGTTGTGGCAAACATGATCACTTCTTGTAAGTATCCAACCATTAGCATGGTGAGACCTGTCCTTCATATGCTGCTGAACACCACCCTCAAAATTAAGGAAGGGGATCTCAAAGAGATCAGCATGAGCAAAGAGCTCATCTCCAAGGTCTTGTCAAGCACATATTCACAGAATTCACAGTTATCCCAAGAGATCGCAACATTCCTCAACATTGCTACATTTTTGGATCCTCGTTATAAGAAACTGCCTTTTCTTTCCACCCAAGAACGCTCCAAAGTTGAGAGTATTATTATTGAAGAGGCCAAAGCAATCCTTGAGAAGCAGATTTCGGAGCGATCGGGCCTTGATGATTCTTCTTTGGTGTCTGATGAGCCACCTTGCAAAAAACTGGGACTTCTGGGTGAATCTTCTGCCAGCACTTCAGTTCAAGACAACCCTTTGGCTGCCATATTTTGCCAGTCAGATGCAGACCAGAGCCAGGAGGAGCTACATGCTCAAGTAGTAGAGGAGCTGAGCAACTACAAGTCACAGAGGGTTCTAGGTCTGAATGAAGACCCTTTGCTTTGGTGGTCGAACCATGCACCTTTGTTCCCCACACTTCCTAAGGTGCTCCAGAAGTATTGGTGCGTTCCTGCCACAAGTGTTCCTTGTCATAGGTTGTTCAGCTCATCAGGTACTTTTCTTTCTGGGAAAAGAAACCGCATACCTTCAGCTCTAGTGGATATGCAGGTTTTCCTGTATGAGAACTCTCGGAGCTACTATGAGCCTGAACCCTGTGAGGATGAATTTGAAACTGTTTTGGAAACCAACTCTAGTTTGGCTCAGCACTAAAGTGACTGAGGTTTGAAAGAACTTTATTTACTTTGCTAAAGGCTGAGGTTCTAAAGGCTGAAAAGCCACTGGTGGCATAAAGGGACAACGTTTTCAGCCTTTATAACATATGGGACACTTTAGCTTTTAAGTTAACTGCTGTAAACACATTTCTCCTTTACAGAGCGGATGTCCTTATGCATTCAAAATCTGCACAGAAACTCTATTGTATTAAAATGAAGTGGAAGGTTACAGAAGAAAGATTTATCGTTTATGTAGCAATATTGTGTTTTGTCTTTATTATAAATGTGTCAGCTGTTTTTTGTTTGTTTGTTTTGTTTTTTAAATTTGTGGCCATTCCCAAAGTCTTGCTTGATGGTCTCACCTGTACACATCTCGGTGGGGGAGCGTAGTGCACAAACACACCTCTCCAGGTAAAACATTTGCTGCCCATGTGGGCATGGAAATTCCACAGTAAGGGCTACAAGCACACTCTGCCATCCTCTTTTTCATTTAGAGTAAGTACAGAGTGGAACAGAGTACAGGCCAGGAAACTGGTTCCAGTGCCCAAGCTGTGCACTGAGGTGAGCCTAACTATCTAGTCGCCGTCACTCGCTTGCTTAGGATCAGACTCCTTTCCCACCAGTGAAGTGACACTGCATGTACCACAAGCCAATGTTGGAATGATTAATTATATCTCTTTAAACTTCATACATTTAAACATGATATTATGTGATAAGGAAACGTGTGAATTATTGGTTCATAAATATCTCTTAAGAAATACCACTAGGGTGATCAGTTTAGACAGTCTGAAACAACAATGTTTTATTTGCTGTTAAATTTAATTTTCAGTTGCTGTTGAGATTTATGTACCAAAACTACATTGCAATGGTTAGGAGAAGATCATGGTACAGATTAAAATAGAATATTTTAAACTCATTAACCATGTGAAAATCTTCCGGTTTGTATGTTGGGGGACGAATGCCTCGGCAGACTTACAGAAACCTTTGATAGTAGTTGGGCGCATCTTACCTCACCGATCAGTTGTTGTGACTTCCTAGTATACTCTGATGTTTAGTTGTCCTTTTGTCCCCTCAAGTGTCATTCAGGCTATGTACTTTGTAAATACTTGTCCACATATTGCAGAACTGACTGATAATAAATGTGAGTAAAGGTTTTGCTTGTCTGGCTGCTTGATGTCTTCACTTTGCATGGGAACAATGTTCAATATTTGAAAATGCAATGCAGTCATACAAACGGATTTCACCAGTCTGTTCTGGAGCGGTGCATTTCATAGGTTTCATATATTCCTGCTGTTTTCCTGGGTTACAAGCAAAACAAAGCAGAGTAACTGGTATTTATTTCTTAACGAGCGCTACAAGAAAGGTTCTGTGAAAATTGATCTAAGAAATCCACATGTCATGCTCTTCATTACACTATTAAAAAATGTCAGTCACTGGCCTGGGTAATTGGTCATTGTATTTCCCAGTGGCAGTCAAGTAGAATGACGTGTCATTGCATTCATAATTAAGTTCAGATATGTTTCTAAGTTCTATACAAAACCAGCTGAGTAACTAGAAAAAGCTTCTTGTAAATCACCTGACTTACAAAAGTGTGTATAGCCTTATCTGCACTCACTGTAATTCTGTTCTGTTGATTCTTCGAATGCTGTGTTGCTGCTGCATATTTACAGATGACTGTTAATAGATCAGTCACGGAAGACTTTTGTCCCAGCATTGTCTTAAACCTCATCGTTACTGAACCTCGCCAGAGTTTAAATGAAAGATTGTGCAATGTTCTTATGTGGTCCCCTCTCTCCTCCTACACAGTCTTACCCAAGCAAAATGGAAGGGTTGCCATTGTGACTGGGGGTACCAGAGGAATTGGTTTTGAAACAGCAAGACACCTGGCAAGCCTTGGCATGCATGTTATCATAGGTAGGCTAATGTCCGATCACATGCCTTCACTCAGTCAGTTCCCCTTTCTATACTTTTTCTTAGTTGTGGCAGTGCCTTAAAGTTGCATTGTTTCAGATGTCCCGCAGGCTGGGACTCTGGTCTCAAAAACTGTGTGTACAACTATGTAAAAAGGAACCTACTGCCCACTTGAGCTATAAATATTTTGTATGTTGTCTATGGAACTAAACAGCAGCTGTGTTTAATATGAACTTTTTGACCTTTTTATATTCATTTATTGAATGACTTGCACAAAACAGCACTGGAATCTTTCCATATATGGAGCTGAATGCTTCATATCTGCACTGGCAGTAGATCCTAGGTTCTCAAAGTGTAGCCCACAGGCCAGCTAAATGTATTAATGAAAATGAAGTGATCTACAGGGTGGGACAATTATATGGATACACCGTAATAACATGGGAATGGTTGGTGATATTAAAGTCCTGTTTGTGGCACATTAGTATATGTGAGGGGGCAAACTCCTCAAGTGGAGGTACAGCATACACCACATTGTTAAGTCTGGAGTTTTGTCTTTCAGGTGAAAAACTCCAAAACACAGACTTAACAATGTGGTGTATGCTGTACAGTGCAGCGAGGAATGCTCAGACCTCTACATTGGAGAGACCAAACAGCCACTTCACAAGCGCATGGCACAACACAGAAGAGCCACCTCCACAGGACAAGACTCAGCAGTCCATCTGCATCTTAAGGATAAAGGACACTCTTTGAGGATGCCAACGTTCACATTTTGGACAGAGAGGACAGATGGTTTGAAAGAGGAGTGAAAGAAGCATCTATGTCCACTGTGAGCGACCATCTTTGAACAGAGGCGGGGCTTACGACACCAACTCTCTGCCATCTATAATCCAGTTTTGAGATCCTTCCCAGACGCCTTAACGCCCACTCACATCCTGGGCCATCTGACCTCAGGAATTCGCATGATAGGGTGGGGCCAGGTTTCACAATGAACTCACCCGAAACTCTGGCTGATTGGGACCCATGCCCAGTTTCACACCTTGGCTCAGGCGATTAGAGGATCATCAGGTGGTCCTTTTGTCCCTCTGTGGGGGGAAACTCCCACTAGGTTTATATCTGGGACTCTCCACCATTTGACCTTAGAACTGAAGAAGCTTCTCGGATGAGAGGTGAAACGTCTTCAACTTTGACTACGATGACCTGGATGACTGAGAACCTTCACAGACATCTTCATTAGTGACAGTTTTCCTGCGTCCACATTTTGGCAAATCCAACACTGAACCAGTTTCACGAAACCTAGCAAGCAGTTTGCTGACTGTAGCATGGGAGATGGGTGGTCTCGTAGGGGGTCTTGCATTGAAACCTGCTGCAATGACCCGGTTACTGCGTTCACCAGATATCAACACAATTTCGATCCGCTCCTCACGTGTTAACCTCTTCGACATGTCAATGGCTGTGACCAAAGAGAAACTTGTAAATAACTCATGAAAGAATAAAGTTACGTTGAAACCAAGCACACCATTGTTTTTCTTGTGACATTACCAATAAGTTTGATGTGTCACATGGCCCTCTTCCTATTGAAAAAACAAAAGTTGTATCCAAGATGGCCGACTTCTAAATGGCCACCATGGTCACCACCCATCTTGAGGAGTTTGCCCCCTCACATATACTAATGTGCCACAAACAGGACTTTAATATCACCAACCATTCCCATGTTATTACGCTGTATCCTTCTAAATGGCCACCCTGTAGAATGAATCTACAGTTCATGCAGGACCAACTGAGCGCTTTACTTGGATTTAAAATCTTTAACTTTTCTAGCACAATAGGGCTAACTAAATGTTCCTGGTGTCAATGCATGCCACCTTACTACTGATTAAAGATTGTTACAAAATGAGAATTCCAACAATAAATTCTTTCTGAAAAGACATTAACATACAAACTTTGCAAACCCTAACTCTGGAGCAGGGATGTCAAACTCATTTTATATTGCAGGCCACGTACAGCATTTTGATCTTAAGTGGGCTGAATCAGTGATGCCCTCGTTTCAGTCAGCGTAAATACGCTAAACTACACCTTTAACCCCCTTAAGTCCAATTTCAACAGTACGTCTCATTTTTACTACAAGATGCTGCTGTAGTGATTGAAAGAAATCTGTTTCACAAATAAATGTGTAAAATTATAGAAAGTTCTGCTGTCTCACCGCCCAGGAGAGTAATCCACATGAATTCTTCTGTCTTTTAATTATTGTTTATCTAATTACTGTGGTGTACTATGAATGGTCATGGTACTGGTGTTCATCAGCAGGAAAAGCTGTAAAACCCATGAAAATACAGCTAAAAGTCCAAAATCTATAACTTCCTAAACATATTCCAAAACCATCCAGTGGGCCCCATCGGAGTCTTTGGCAGGCCGATTCTGGCCCCTGGGCGTCATGTTTGACAACCCTGCTCTAGATTATTTTTTCATTACCTCCATCATCCTGATGACGACGGACTAAAATACCAGAATATTACCTTCCCCTGTTGATAGACGCGTTGTGATTGGCTTTTTCTCCAGTGTTCATTAGTATCAGTCGTACCAAAGGTTTTGTTAGCGAGTGTAGGCTGTAGCATTGAGTGGATCAGCTGCTGGATATCTGCCCACCAAGCCTCTCTTTGATCTTCATCATCTCCAGCTGGGAATGAGAGAGAAGAAGGTGCAGCAGCTGTTAGGAAGATTCACGAAGAAGGGACCGAAGGAACCGGTAAGTCCAGTAACACGGAAGCTCTCATTCAGTATTGTCTATGAAACAGGAAGTGGGTCTTCCAAAATAAAAGCTCAAATTTCAGATAAAAATGTTATACCATGGCAATGCTTTACATCATAAATACATATATGAAATAATGTCAGCTGTGATACTTGCTCTCTGAAAAGCTAAATAACAGGATCACATCTGAGTTGACACAGAGAGCAAATGAAAGCCGACTGTAGACCCAGGCACAGGCTTAAATAAGTTAAAATAAACTGTTAGTGTAGTCCAGCCTAACTGGAAACTCAAAAAATACAGTGCAGAAAAACACACACACCTTTTATCCCTACACATGGTGAGTATCAGTCATCCCAGCCTGTAGCAAAACATAAGTGATAATCTAAAATAATGTCAATGACAATAATCCTGATTTCTTCCTAAAAATGATACTTTAACAGTAAATAATCGGTGTTATGGACCAGGTATGTCACATTTTCTTCTCCATTACCATGGCAACATTGAGGGTGTTAAAACCAGTTTGACCTCGGACATGACCTCCCCTCAGAATACAAAATGTAAATCCTGACAAACCAGCATCTCCTGCTGTGTAACGACACGTAAAGAAATGAGCATGTGTGCTAATGCTTACTAGTATAAAGCCCTTCGTCGTACATATGTTCCATACTGTCCTCACTTGTTGAGATGTTTGCTACCTTTAGGGACTTCTGGGAGACAAACTCAATCATTTCTGCCTATTGATGGTGGGGCGTATGATGTGGCGTGCACAGTGACCTCGAGAGGTCACATGCACTGCAGCTACTGACTGCTGTTACCTGATGACAGTCAGGATTCAGTGCTGTTCTTTTCTTACTGCAGCTGAGTTTGTCTTCGTGGACATGACGTCACTGAAATCTGTGCGACACTTTGTGCGGTTGTTCAGGGACAGAGGTCTACCCCTCCATGTCCTGGTTAATAACGGTAGGCTATACAAACGCACACTGATGATGGTCTTTGCAAAGTCACGCACCGGTTTACTACATATTAAACTTGTTCCTTTCACGTAGCTGGGACCATGATGGTTCCTGACAGACAGACAGAGGATGGCTTTGAGTACCACTTGGGCCTCAATTACCTGAGCCACTTCCTGCTGACCAACTTGCTGCTTGATCTGCTGAAGAGGTCAGGAAAACCGGGCTGCTGCTCTAGAATCATCAACATGTCCTCTGCTACACATTACGCAGGAGTCATAGACATGGAGGACTTAAACAGGAGGTGAGAAGATCAATCAGTGGGTGTGAAACCCTCTGAGTCTGAAAGAATACAAAAAGTTTGAGTGATTACATTTTATAATAATCACACAGGAAATCTGCAACTTCACTGTCATGTTTAAACTGGAACACTTTGTCATCTTCATTCCCCTAGATCCCAGCGTTAGCACTGTTAGCGCTCCTGCACACCACTAAAAACAAACTACAGAAGGTACATCCTGCTGCAGGTCACAGCGTAGCTGCAGACTTTAATCAGACACATCTGAAGACTGTGCTTCCTGATTTCAGCCAGCATGTATTCTTAGCATGCCTACAGAGCGGCGGGCCTGTTGGAGCATCTCTTACTGCTCCTGAGTAGGAAAAACGAGGCACACGTGTTCAAAGGTTTTATCTTAGTTGGATTACTGTGTGAGGATACGGGGTAATGCACACAGGCACACTAGATAAGC